TTTTTTTTTTTTTTTTTTTTTCTTTTTCCTTCTGGATCAAATGGATCTTACCGATAGCAAGAGGAGTCACACCATTTGTTTCTAACACATTGCCAAAATGAATTTGAAAAGCAGCAGACCATTTGGGAACAGATGTGTGGGACAAATGAGAAGCATCCTGGTCTTACTGTCACTGCACCTGATTCCTAAGGTGGAATCTACTTACTCTCCAAAATGCTACTAACAGTTGGGATTTCATCTTCTGTGACCATCCCCCAAAGCCCTTGGGCTTCATCCTAGACCTTAAATGTCCTTTGGATAGAGATCATGATCATAAACTCACACAAATGTCTAAAAAAATGAAACAAATATCACAGTTTAGTTTATATTTAAGTTGGCAAAAACAATAAAGAACCAAAAACAAATAAATATGATAGCCTGACAAAAACCTAAAGGAGAGCAGATCACAGTAATTACAAGCAACAGCAAAAACTGAGGGGTTTTTTTTAGGCCTTTTTATCTGTGAGCAAGGTAATTTTGAACAACAAATGCTCCACATTAGATTCAAATTGCTGAGTATACCAAGAGTAATTTAGACTCCTCTTAATGTCTAATGGACTTCATTGTATCATGTGTGATCTTTTTGGGGAAGGTAAGTTAAGGTATTCATCTTAACAAATAATGGGTATTTTAACTTTTTAAAAACTTCTAAAGAACAAAAAAAGATTAAAACTATGGTAAAACTATGGTAATCTTTGTGAAAAAGACACAAAGATTCTCTTGTAAGTTAGAGACTGCACAGTAGATGTGACTCACTTATTTCCACCTGCCGGCAAAAGGAAGTAATTCATAACACAGATCCTCAGTAATCAATCTTTAAACACTTCTAAGTGATCTATTTTATTGTTTCCTGTTAATAAAAACAGGTAAATTCTTTATAGAAATATGTGCAGAATTTGAGTTTATGAAAAGACGACATTGCTGTATTTCTACATTTCTCTTTGGAAACTCATTTTTCTAATTTTTAACAAATTAATGACACAATGCAGATAAAAGATAGCAGAGGTATAACAGACCAGTGGATGAAAAATATGTGACTTTGAAAACAATTCAGAAAAAAAACCAATTTTTTAAAATAAAAATATACTTGAAGGCTGGGGATGTGAACTACTTTCCTAGCACACATTGAACCAGAGCTCAATCCCAAGCAATACTAAAAAAAAAAAAAAAAAAAAAGCTGATAAAACTGATAGCAACTGTAGAATGTTTACTCAACATAAAACACAAAGCTGAGATAGATTGATTTCTAATAGAAAAGGGGTAGTTATAATGCTATTATTCCTTTACTGATGCAATACATGTGTTAAAAAATCCAAACCAAAAAAAGAACCTAACAATAAAATCAAAAGGGAAACATGTACATTCCCATCACATAGCATTTATAAAATAAGAGAGAAGTACAACAAAATACAGAAGCAGATAACAAAAGGCAAAATACTCTTGACTACTATGTTTCTAAATGGTTTAAACTGTTAAATGCTACGTGCATTTGGTTAACATAGAATTTAATACAACTTACAAGCATGTTTAACTAAATGACAGAATTAAAAAAATAGTATAAAGGCTAAATATGAAATAACATTAAGCAACATAAAATTCAACATCAAAAACAAAGGAAGAAGTAAGACAGCATCCAATATTCAAGAAATACAGTTCCCTAACATTAAATTGCAGGTAACAACAGTGTCTTTGTAACATCTGAAATCCTCTCAGCCCCAAAACTACCCTTTGTTGCCCTGTTTCTGAAAATGGAACACTTCTGCTTGCCAAATGCAACAATATTAAGTCTCATGAGTAAATGCTACTGTAAGGCCTGTGGGAGAAAGGGGCTTTATTTACTGGTTCCACTCCGCTTTTCTCAAAGACAGGCTTGCCAGGAGCTTGCATGGCTTTACCTGGCATCTGCGTGCAGGATACTACACCTGGTAGTCAGTGTTCTTTGAAATCTATTTTTCAGCAGATGCCACACCCATGAATTATTTTACTGTAGATGGCTTCTCCTGCCCTGCATGGAAAACGTCATCTCCAATCCATTTGTTCTTTTCAGGGCTATACTACCTCAGCCCTAAGAGTAATCGCTACACTGTCTTTATGTTGTTCCTGTATTTTTAACATTCTCTTAATCTCTCAGTGAACAATCTCAATCATCCCAAACCTCTATTATAATCATGTTTTATAGCCAGCATGGCAGCACATGCCTGCAATGCCAGCAGGAAGCTGACAGGAAGACTGCCAAGGGCTGGTAAGATAGCTCAGCAGACTAAGTGCCTGCTAAGGCAAGTGTAGGGACCCGGGTTCGATCCCCAGCACCACATGGCATGCTATCCCTGTCCTCAGGGTGGGCTAAGCCCAAGACAGAGACCAGGCATGGTGGTACATGCTTGTAATCCCAGCACTGGAGAGGCTGAATAGAGGAGGATCACAATGAATCCAGGCTACATAGTGAGACCCTGTATTTTCCTTTGTCACTTAAAAAAAAAAAAGGAAGACTGCCAAATTTAAGCTCAGCCCTAGCCACCAAGTGACTTAGCAAGACTGTTTCAAATGAATAAATTTTAAAAATGACTGAGGACGTAGCTCGGTATGTACAAATGCCCTGGCTTGAATCCTTGTCACCCCTCACCAAAACATTACTTAACTTCTCTGCCTGTGTGGTTTTTGTATTCAGAGTACATCAACTCAATCACTGATGCTATATCGGAACACTTTCTGAATCAGTAATCATTATTGTTTTCATGATAAAGCGACAAGACTGAAAACATCAAGAGCACTGCAGTCAAATATCTTAATTCATTATCTCATAGATAAGTGACAATGGTTAATTTCTCCAATTTACTAAATAAATCTTACCTTATTTTTAGCTACCTCAGCTGCCATTACTTCAATCTGACCTTCATAGGATTTGATAGCTTCATTTACAGCTTCAAGCTGTTGTTTACAGGACGCATGCTCTCTCTGGAGCTCATCAAGCTCCAGAGTGATAGCTTCAACTTCCTACAGAAATAAAATATGTAGGCATTCATATAGGTCCTTAACAACTAACAAATATGGACAGTGCTGAAAACAACAAAAAACAAGTTTACAGAAGACCTATAGCTTAGTTACCCTACACAGAATATAACTCAAGCTGCTTCCCAAGCAGGAGGAAATGGAATGTACTTTCCTATACTTAAAAAAAAAAAAAAAAAGAAAATATAGACAAATGACGTGTAATTTATAATCAAGGTTATAAATAACTACATAAATTATTTCCTTTATTCTTTTACTCCTTCAGGGAAAATAAAATTTTACAGAGATGAATTAATGCAATTGAGTAAAATTAAATAATATGCAAAAAAAATCCTTTATTTTCTTCTTTTCCAGTATAGCATTTTAGTTCATTAGAAAATACTTCACCAAGTAACTAATGACAGAATCTTAATGTGAGATTTTAAAATCTTTATTAAAACTGAATAAATTTATGGACTTGGAGGAACTACAGAAGAGTTTATCTTTTGCAGACAAAAACAGCTTTGGCACTATTCAAAAAATATGAGTCACCAGCTATCTAAAAATGGAATGACACCTGATAAATATAACATTCTTTGTCTCCACGGTTTCAACAGCACACATTCACATAGGTGACCACAAATGAGTAATGACAACTTGTCCAATCTTTAATATGACATAGTTCCACTACATTCTATAATCCATGTGGATGGAAACATTTAACAAAAGGCAACTTTGCTTTTTCCCTAAAATTAGCATGTGAATACTAATACTATACTTACATGTTATATTCAATTACAGGCTTTTCAGAGGTAAGATGTGTAGCTTATTTCAAGAATACAACTCACTTTTAGATTTTGGAATCAATACTGATGAATAATAAGGCCAATCCATACTATTCTGTAACTTTATACACTATGTTGACTTTAAAAGATTTGTTCCATTTCAAGGAAGATTATTACCTGTTGTCTTTCTTTCATTTTTTTGCTAGATGCATCTGCCTTTGTCTTGGCACAATCCAGTTTTTTCTGAGCATCCTTTAGTTCTTTTTCTCTCTCAGCTTCTGCATTTTTCATTTTATTCTCTAATACTTCATATTTTTCTTCTGCTTTTTTTTGGATTTCTTTGGTGTTTTTTAAGGTCTCTTCACTTTCCGCTGCATTATAAAGTAGTTAAATGTATCTAAATTAACATATAAAGTCTTTAAAATTCAATTTAATTAACAGAAAAAATAACCTGGAAACTAAGAATTTCAACAAAATTAACTACTTCAACCATATTCTAAAAGTGGTATATTGAAACAGAAATCCTATCAAACTATCTGAAACTATTTCTAATGGTATGAAGCTAAGTTAAGAAACCTTACCTCTAACTTCTAAAAAGGTTTTGAGTAACTGATTAAAAAAGTTCACAGCTCATGTACATGTGTGCTTGTGTACTTTACCCCAGTACTGTAGACTGAGCCACCCTACCACAAATTGCACCCTTAGCCTCACTATTCATACTGTCAATACGTCTCCGTGGGTCCTAAAACTAAAACTAACAGTGTAGTTACGACATTTTTCTGTAATTTTTAGTTATCAGAAAGTTCACAGTGGTTTCTGATTCATTCATCCACATTTGAGTAACCTCTCATTAGAGTAAAAAAAAATACTGTGGAAAATATGCCAAGGAAGAAACAGAGAGAAAAAAAAATTAACAGAAAGAAAAAAAGCAAGGCAGACTAGACACATAATGTCACAATTGACATATACTGCTAATGCTGGGACTTAGGTACAGAAAGCCACAACCAGAAAATGTTTACACTACTTTGAATTGTAGGATAAAAATACTAGTATGGAAATTGTCCTGTTATTAGAAACATAAATACAGATATATAAATTAAATTCTGATGAAAAAGTACAACAAAGTTCTTAAATTCAGAGATATCATTAAAACAATTATACTCAACATTAAAAACATTTGGGTACATAAATTCTTTTAACACACAGTTAAAAGTACATCAAGCAAAAACACAGTTGCAGTGCACATAAACCATAATAAAACTGTAAGTACAGGAAAAAATTTAAGTAAATCGACAGGAAAAATGGACAAAAGAAATAAATATGAAATTCATGGAGGCAGAAACCCAAATAACATTAATGATAAACACACAAAAGTAGACCCTAAATTTCACCACCAATTAGGGAAATTCACCTAAATGCAATGAAAATAGTAATGTGTTATCTCTTGACAACTATCAGGCGGGAAAACTTGGAATGTCTAGAAAGGAAAGGATTTAAAGGGCTGGTGAGATGGCTCAGTGGTCTAAAGCACCTACTTAGAACAAGCTAAGCTAAGCAAAAGCACAGCGACCGCGGTTCTAATCCCCAGCACCACATGCCAGCCAGCCCCGCCCCCTGGTGGGCTGAGCTGGCCACACACACACAAAATAAATAAATAATTTATTAAAAAAAAAAAAAAAAAAGGAAAGGATTTAAAGAAATAAAACTTTCACATGCTATGGGTAGAAATGAATGTTGTTAAAAATGGACACAACATTGGCAATATACAGTAGAAGAAGATGACCATATTCTAAGACCAGAAGTCCCACACTTTGATTTATCCCACAAATACTCCTATGTGTATTATAAATATAAGGGTCTCCTAAATATAAGAAAAGGATGCCAATAGAGACAGAGATTAAGCGAACAGTGTTTTAATCCTACCAATAGTTTTTTTAAGAGCATCTAATTCTTCTTGTTGCTTATGATATGAGCTTTGCTGGAGCTTTGTTTGTAATAAATCTGCTTCCTCTCCTTTCATTTCCCACTGCTGTTTTAGTTGGCGATACCTTAGAAAAACAAAAGTTTATAACATGTATCATGCACCATTAAATTCTGATGAAAACCTGTACATTTCCTCAGGTTTGAGACATACACTTAGAGTTTGGGTTCTCGTCTGAAATAAACTAACATACAGTTTAACAATACAATATCCTGCTGGTCATCAAGCAAACTTGACAAGTTGGGAAAGGTGGCACACACTTGTAATTCCAACAACCTGGGAGATTAAGGCAAGAGAACTGTAAATTATAGACCAGCCAGGGCAACTTATAAATCTGGTCTCAAAATAAAACCCTAAAAAAGGGTCAGCGATATAATTCAATGCCAGGACTTTGGTTTCAATCTCTAGTACCACAAAATTAGAGAACGAAGAAAATTGATGATTCTCAAGCTTCTGAGGCATCAAGTAAATTTAAGTCTTATTTTAGCAAGTCTGATAGGGTCACTGAAGATAAACACCTCTAAATGAGAAGAACATAATAGCTATTTGTAAAAAATTCTTAATTTCAGAAAACACTAAAATTAACTTTTTCATACTCCGGTTTCTCTTCAGATCATATAAATCTTTCGCATTGTACTAAAATTAACTTGTAGTAGGTATGTTTCCTTAAAAATAATCTCTCCTGCCAATTCTTAAGTAAAAGAAAAACTCCAATGCTACTAACTACAAAAATTAAGATTGTAACAATTAGATAAAATTGCAAAAGTTTGGTTATTTAATCTCCATTTTCTTTTCTTTTGTACTGTATTTTTCTTTTTATTAAAGAGAATTAAAAATAGATAAAACGTGAGAAATGATACCAATTTCAAAAAAATAAGATGATAGGTATTTAACAATCCCTGTTACATTTTACATTGTCTTCAAATTAGTTGTTCAGATTACCAGATATAAGCATGCAAAATTGGACAAAAGTAAAATTTTAAGCATTAACTGCTCCTTCTGATGTCACTTTAGCCTAAATCTTTTTAATTCTTTACTTGAGTTACTGTGGTGGATCTTGTTCAAACCTTGCAGTTCCATTCCCTGTACTCCTTAGTGAGATCTTATCTCAGGATAAAAATAATTTTAAACAGGCTTGAGGTATAGCTCAGTGTGAAAGGCTTAGCTGGTTTTTTTCTATTTTTTATTAGTTTTATTGAGAAACAAATAGCAATAAGACAGTTTCAAAAGCAATTAGTAGCACAGTTTCAATAATTGATACACTGTATGTTGTCGTCTTCATAATGGTTATTCACAGTACAAGATGCAGACAGGATATCCTGTCCAAACACTATTAGTACAAATCTTTCTTCTCACTGAATTAAGAGAAAGTAGCTATATATCTATCCTGTTTTGTATATACAGATACAAAATGGTCCTTCATTTGTATCCCTTTTTTTCGTTTAGTTTTGTCAGAGATGGGTATTCCATTGCCATTTCAATATTGTAGGTGTGTGAATTCAGCAAAATAATCCAATATAGTCCACTAGTCCATAATAGTAGTGGGTTATCCATAGGACTGGCATCATCAGAAGTTGTTGACTTAGTAGTGGGTTATCCATAGGACTGGCATCATCAGAAGTTGTTGACTTAAGTCATTTATAGCTCGGCATATTAATATGGCTTTACATTATATACCTTGATTTTATACTTTTCTGTTGGATGGTTAAGACTAAGATAAAGCTAGACCTATGTAACAAGAAAAGTAACTTTTGTATCTGACAAGGTCAGCCAAATCCCTTCAGGATTTATCCTGAAATTCTGTACCGCAATTTGTAGATCCTTTGTTAGTATCAGCCATGTGGATGAGTCATAGCCATTGTTTGACCAGATTGCTCTCTGTGAAATGTTTTCTCTCCATGTGACTCTCCTTAGACACACTCTACATCATCTATCACTTGCCTCTGTGACCCCATAATCTACTTGATCAGAAAATTTGGGGTACAACTGAGTTTACAAAATGTTACAGTACAGGTTCTCCTATGTCCTGAATCCTCATTGACCTTGAAAGGCTTGGGCCAAAATGTTGGCTGTCCTTGCAACTCTCCTTTTTCTCTAATTTTTGGTCTGCAAACTTAAGTTGTTAACCCTCCAGAAGACAAGCTTAGTGATATTATTAACCTATAACACAGGCAGTTGACCTTAGCATCAGTATCTGTCTGAATATCAAACATCTTAGACATAACACGGAACCGGTATTTTCCATCAAGCATTGATAAATTAAACTTTAAATCCCTACAGAATGTGAAGAAAAAAAGGAAAATAACAATAAAAAAATTTTAAAAATAGGAATAAACAATTCCATTTTTACACAAAAATTTAAAAATCTAACCATAAACAGCATTTTAGGAGGACAGGGCAATGATATTTTTTGTTCTTGTCTCGTTTCATTTATTACCTTTTTTTTAAACATTTACTTGAGAGACAGCATAGCAATAATTAATATGACATGAGAAGCAGCACGTATTTAGAAGACCAGAATGACAGGCATTCCAAGCATGACCCTAGAATTATGTATTGTTATCTTCAGTGCAATTGATTAGTTCACAGTTACCAGCTGTATAGTTAGTCAGGGTGAGAATCCTACCAATTAACTGCTGGTTTCAAAAACCTGGTGAAGATTCTCAGGATCATTGCCTTAAGCATTTTGTGCATATAAATGTATGGCTTTGCCCATGTCATGTTTCCCAGCTTTTCCCTTTGCCCTCTCTTCATTGTTTAATACTCAAGTTTTTGTTTTCCTTTTAATTGCGTTATACCTTTCTATTTTTATTTCTCCTGAGTGCTTATATTAGGGAGACTATACAGTATTTACACGTGTGGGTCTGACTTATTTCACTTATATCTTCAAGTGGCATCCACACAAATTGAAGGCTTCAAGTTTATCATTCTTTATAGCTGAGTAATACTCCGTTGTATAAAAATACCACATCTTTTTCGTCCATTCCTCAGGTGATGGGCATCTTGGTTGTATCCACAATTTAGCTATCATGAATTGTGCTGCTATAAACATAGGTACACATATATTACTATGATACGACATTTTCAGTTTCTCTGGGAAAATTCCCAGTAGGGGGGATAGCTGGTTTGAATGGAATTTCTAGTCCTAGGTTTTTAAGGAGTTTCCAGATTTCCATAATGGTTGTGCCCGTCTACATTCCCACCAGCAGCAGAGAAAGGTTCTTACTTCCTCACAGCCTCTCCAACATTTGTTGTTGATTTCTTTATGAGAGCCATTCTTTCTTGGGTGAGATGGTATCTCAGTGTTGCTTTAATTTGCATTTCACGACAGCTAGAGATATGGATCATTTTTTCATGTATTTATTCGCTTCTTTAATTGCATACTCTGAGAAGTGTGTGTTTATCTCAGATGCCCATTTCTGGACTGGGTCTTTAAATTTGGGGACCTTAATGTTTTTCAGTTCTTTATAAATTCTAGAGAGCAGTCCTTTGTCTGAGAGCTTATTAGTTAGGATCTTTTCCAAATTTGTGGGTTGTCTTTTCCCTTTGTTGGTAACTTGTTCTGATGTGCAAAAACTTCTCAGTAAGAGGAGGTTCCAGTTGTTCTTTCAAGTATTACCCTTGCGATTTGATTTTTGTTCATGAACTCTTTGCCTACCCCTATATCTTCAAGAGTTCCTACTTTCTCTTCCAGGAGATTTACTGTTTCTGTTTTAATGTTTAGATCTTTAATCCATTTTGACTTTACCTTACTGCGTGGTGATAGACCTGGGTCAAGTTTTAGTTTTCGGCATGTAGAGAGCCAGTTTTTCTAGCACCATTCGTTAAAGAGGCTATCTTTCTTCCAGTAAGCATGTTGGGCCCCTCTGTCAAAGATAAGGTGGCTGAGTATGTTTGTAATGGCTTCTGAATCTTCTAATCTATTCCACTGATCCTCAGGTCTATTTTGTTGCCAACCATGCTGATTTTATCACAGTAGCTTTGTAGTATAATTTCAGAAGGAATTTTTTTTGGCTGGCGCAGGATGCCTTCAGGGAAGGTTTAGTAAGGCTTGCGAATCTGGGAATTGAACCATAGCAACCTGAGCCTGACTGCTCTGTGTAAGCAGTCACTAAACAACTGAGCTAATGGGCAGGCCCCCTGTAGTATAATTTCAAGTCAGGAATTGCAATGCCTCCTGCCTTGTCTGTGTTGCCCAGGATCGCCTTTCGTATTCTAGGTCTTTTCTGGTTCCAAATAAATTTTAGGAACAATTTCTCTAGGTCTGTGAGGTATGTTGGTGGTAGTTTGACAGGGATTGCATTAAATCTGTACAGCAATTTTGGGACTATGGCCATCTTTACAATGTTGTTTCTGCCTATCCGGGAACAGGGAATATCTTTCTATTTTCTGAAATCCTCTACGATCTCTTTTTTCAGAGTACTGTAATTTTCCTTGACAAGATCTTTGACTTCTTTAGTTAGATTAATTGCTATGTATTTCATTTTCTGTGGTGCTATCGTAAAAGGTATTGTTCCTCTAATTTCCCTCTCAGTGTGTTATCTATGTAGAGGAATGCTATTGACTTTTGATTTTGTATACTGCTATGCTACTGAATTTGCGTATTAATTCTAGTAGCTTCTTGGAGTTTTTTGGGTCTTCCAAGTAAAGTTTCATGTCATCTGCAAATAAAGATAGTTTAACTTCTTTACCTATTCTTATTGTTTTTTTTTTTTTTCTCTCCCTTGTCTAATTGATCCAGCTAATGATTCCAGAACTATAATGAATAGGAGTGGTGGTAAGAGGACATCCTTGTATCAGATTGTTAATCTCAATTTTCAAATATTAACGTTTTCTGTTTCTTGTTTAAGACATGGCTTTTTCATCACGTCACTTACATTTTATGTAAACCCTGTAATGCCACCATCCAAGTGGCTGCTTCAGTCCTTCCTGTGGAAGATACTTAGCTATTTCAGTTGCAGAAATTTCAAGTTAATATAAATTCACAGAGCAGTGACAAGTATGTCAGTAGAAATTCATGAGGTTTGGGGGGAAAAAGGATACAACCCATAAAATATAAATACTAACCTGAGTATTCTTCCTTGAAACTGCCTGAGAGTGACTAAAATTTTAACTCCATTTTTAAAAAGGTAGAATGTAGACGTTTACAAAAATGCTAATTTTCTTAGTGTAGACAACTGATTGGTGAACTCATATATCCTCTGCTGTCAGAGTCCTGAGAATGTAAGGATTCCCCAATCCCACCCCAGCAAGATGCTAAATGTACGTATCAGTAGCAAGAAAAGGATATTTGAAACTCTCATCCCCTTTTAGTGAATTAGATTTTGTTCATTTCTCACAATGAACACATTGCTTTTCCAGAAAAAAAGAAATAATAGCTAAATTATAAACTTTTAGTTATTTTGTTCAAATATTTTAAATAAAACCATAGACATGAAAATATTGGGAGTTGTACTTTTTAAAATAAATTTCTATTATATTCTACCATGTAAATCCTGCAATATGTATAAAGAGCTTAATCCAAAGTCTTACTTTTCAGCAGTATTTTTAAGGTGTGCCAATTCCTCCTCTAGAGCTTGGAGCTCTTTCTCCTTGTTCCTCAGCTCATCGTGAACATCTTTGAGTTCTTGAAACTTGGTTAAAATAGAAGCAGCCTGAGATCGAGCACCTGACAGAGACAAGAAATAAGCCTTACAAATTAAACTGCCACAGGTTTATTAAGCAATAAAATTTTTCTTAGCAAAGTATACTAGAAATAATTCAATGAAAAATTCTAGGTGGATTCATGAACCTGAACTTAAAAGGTACATAACTGATAAGAAATGGTTCTGGATACATGTAACCACTGGCCTATCTACTAGGACATTTTTCCAATCCCATTTTCCACCCCACAGACACTAAGTCTGGCCATCTGATTATCTCTGGCCAGCAAAATGGGAAATTTTCCTCCGTACATGTAAGTTTTGCGAAGTATCATGTAATTGACAATTTTCTATGTCATGAGAAAAGCATCTTGAAGGTGGGGATTACTCCTTCAGACTGAATCAAGAGCTGAAAACAACATGGAACAGAGGAACTTATCTATAGCAAATGTAGTGCAATTATGGAGCAAACCTGCTATAAGCTATTACGATTTGGGGGCTTTTTCTTTTTTGGTACCAGGGATGGAAGTCAGGACTTTGCACTTGCCAGCTAGTCACTTAGGCCACTGAGCTATGCCCCTGGCCCATTAAGGGCTATTTGTTACCTCATCAAGACCTGGTGCAAACTCTGATGCAGCAAAGCAAGCAGAATAAACTGATTTTAATTTCTGTACAAACAACCATAATCATCTGGCTTTTAGCACACTAATAAGAAAACACTGTAGGTTGATGAAAAAGGCCAAGGTCAAATACTAATGCTATTATGAAAAAAATTAACTTATTATGTGAAAAAAGCCGTATATGGGTAGTAGCTACTGTATTGGACAGCACAGTCTTAGATCATTACCTGGTATAAACTATTATTCACTATTTTTTATCATACTTTTGCCTGACAGACTTAGAAAATCAATGTGGCGAATACTGGAACAAAAAAATATGCTCAGGCATATGATTAGGAATTTCTCTCCCAAGGCATTAATTAAGGTTCCACTTTGAAGAGTTTTTACTTTTGACAAGAGCAGTGGCAGCACTGACATGTGAACTAACAGATTTCCTAAATAAGTGGGTAGTTAAGCTAAACAATGGACCTTTACAAAACAAAGACACCTCCCGAATTACAATTAGACAAAAGTAACAAGACTATACTAGTATCAATAGCAGCGACTACAGTATCCTAAATAGTAATAGAAAAAAGATCTAAAATTAATAACACTATAGGATTAATGAGCAGATTAGACAGTAGACTACACTACCATGTAATTTCTCATTATTATTATGTACCTGTCATGTGGTAGGTATTCAAAATCTAAATTCAACCCTTAGCTTTACATTAAGACTTTGGGGAATGAGTATTTGATCTTAAACATACAACCAAGGCTGGCTTTAGTCTTAATTCTAATCAAAGACTAGGAATCAAAGTCTGAATTTACTTATTTAGGGATTACTCAAACCTAAATACTTCACATAGTCTCTATTTAATAAAGAAGCCCATTCCATTTACCAGTGTAGTAAAGACAAAAGTACGTAAAACGTACCTCCGCTCAATGTTCCATGAGGATCAAATACCTCACCCCCTAAAGTTACAGTTCTAGTCATTATCCTTTTATCAAAGGCCACTTTTTTAGCATGATCCATATTGTCACAAACAAATGTTGTTCCAAAGACAAATTCCATTGCTTTCTGAAGTTCTGGTTTATAGTCAACCAGCGAAAGAGCCACATGAACATTATTAGGACCAACCTGAAGGAAAAATGAAAGTCATACTCCCTCCTTTCAATTATTTTTAAAACCAGTAAGAACTGTTATAACAGAGGTTTAAATAATATTTACCATTTATTAATTTTTTAAAGTTTACTAAAAAGATACATAAAAGCCACAGTTTTAGGAAAAAATTAGTTTTAAACACAAAAGGATCTATTGCAAGGTAAAATACTTAACAAAAATACCATAGATAATAGCTTCTTTCATAAATAAGCAAACAGCAACATCCTAAATCTGCAATAAAACTATATATGTAAGTACATGTTCTTTAAAGCACAATAAGATTCCCAGTTTAAAAAGAAAACTATATTGGTTTGTTCAATCATTAGCAGTTTGGTCCTTCACACTGAATACTTTTTCATACAATCTAAACATATATCAGCTACTTGCCAATTACAGAAATGAAAACACAACAGATTATTAAGTTAAAAAAAATGACAGAAAAAGTACCCCATCTTCTTGGAAAATCCAACTACCTCTTTACAACCTTTTTAAGAAAAACTTATCTTCCCCTATGGAGTTTAAGACCAAAGAATTGCAATGAAGGTAATACAATATAAAAATTAAACAGATCTAACTATAGAATCCAGAAGGAAATATGTTTGCTGTTAGTCAAAATATCAATTTACTTGCAACACTGCAACTTGATCTGCAGTTGAATGAACCTCCTGAGACTTGACCAAAGATGATTTTCACATAATGGAATACTAATCGAAAACACCGTCTTTGAATTACTCTGCTTTCACTCTTCCTCTTCATAGAATATACACCTATACAATAGTATTTTGAAATCACTTAGTTGAAAGCTTCACAATTTCAATAAGGACACTGGATATCCACTTAATATCCCAACTAAAATATTATTTCTAGGTTTCACAGAACTATCTTTTCAACTAATACAACCGGAATGCTTGTAAATAACAAACTAGTTTTGCTGCTCAATTTAGTTATGATTAGCTTCATGAATTCACCCAGGACTTTGTCCATGAATTTTCTAAATGTATTTCTGTGTTCACATCTCTTTTCTTGCTAGTAAACACACCATGTATCCCTCTCAAACCTGTGATTTTAATTCACCTGCAATATACTATCTGTCCAAAGGCTGAATAGCAATCTAAAAGAATGCTAATAAAAGAGCAACTTGGGAATACTAATACCTTAAAAAATGATTTTCACTGTAGGCAGCTTAAGTGTTCCTGCCCTAAGGAAACATGGAAGAATCTCAGTTCTCACTGTTCAGAAATATAATTTTCATTACCAAATAAAAGGCATGTGACACAATATAAGGTTAAAGACAATCTAATACAAAGTCTGAAAAAGCAAAGGTGGCTCTAGTCTCCCAATACTTCTATTCTCTTGCCATCTAACTGCAAAAGAACAAATTTTAGGTTTTTTTTTTTTTTTTTTTTAATTGTAATGCTTTGAACAATTATAACAAAGCTTGAAAATTTGTGTTTCAGGTTAAATAAGACTTACAAGATTCTGAGCAACTCTCAAAGTTTCTGGAGCAATACATCTGGCTGAAATTTTATTGAGTGGAATTATAGTGTAACGACGTTTCAGTTCTCCTTTTTCTAGTAGCTTTTTACCTGTAACCTAAAAATGCATTTGAAAAAAATGATAAAAGTAAACATTAAAATGGAAAGAGTCCAAGTTCAGGAATCCATGATCAAATAAATGCGTAATACTTTCTATTTAGAACAACCAAAACTTAAATATATATACACAATAACTTATTACTCAGTCTTAAGGATATTTTGACAACAAGGATAAATCTGGATCAGAAGTATGCAACATCATAAACTAGACACTTAGAAATATTGCATGATCTCAAACACATGAAGAATGTCAAGAAAAAGAATGAAATATAAAGAGAGAGTAAACACGGCTACTAGGGACAGAGAGGGAGAGGAATGGATTGAAACAGGTTGTAGGCCAATGGATACAAATTTGTAGTTACACAAAATCATTTTAGAGATAAAATGTGTAATGTGCAAATTATAATACTGTATTGAAAATTTACTACACAGTAAATTTTAGGAATTTATCACTAATAGGAAAAAACTAGTAATTAAAGGGGATGGATATGTTGGTACGCTGACCATAGTAATCATTTCACTATGTGCATATATGAAAACATACTGTATACCTTAAATATACAAAACAATTTTAAAATCCTACAGAAGTAAATTTCATGACTACGTAACATTTATGTCTATTAGAACATTGCATTGAAGGACAAAAAGTGAAAAGCGAAGCAATGCATATACATTTAATGTTTCGTGATGGGAAGACTACTATTGAAAACATTTTCAGTATTATTTTACGAATTTAAATAAATACAAACATACACAAAGAAAGAAAGTCTAAGATTGGTAATGTGCGCTGTGAGCTTTTAAGCAAGCACAATACTTTTTTTTTTTAATTTTTTTTTTTAATGTGTGTGTGTGTGTGTGTGTGTGTGTGTGTGTGTGTGTGTATGGCCAGCTCAGCCCACCAGGGGGCAGCCCTGGCTGGCATGTGGCGCTGGGGGATTGAACCGCGGTCCCTTTGCTTTGCTAAGCTTGTTCTAAGTAGGTGCTTTAGACCACTGAGCCATCTCACCAGCCCCTAAAGAGGAAGCATTTGGATATTTTTTTTTTTTTTTTTTTTTTTTCAGAACCAGGGATTGAACTCAGGCCCCTGTGCTTGCCAGGCAAGCGCTTATTCCACTGAGCCACTTCCCCAGCCCTTCTTTTAGAATGTAGTTATCAAAAGGTCATTAATTAGGTCAGCAAGATAGCTCAGCGGTCGAAAGCTTGTTTAGGCAAGCCCTTTTAGGCAAGCCTGTTTAGGTACTACAGGGAAGGAAGCACCACTTGCTGTACCAGCCCCGCCCCCAGGTTGGACTGAGCCGGACACATCAAAAAAGGAAAAAAAAAGAAAAGTCATTAACTGAAGTTTTACCATATATATGTCATCTGGAAGAATCTTAAAACAAAGAAAGTATTTAGTTTTGTTAGCAGCATGATTTTCCAAGCAAAATAATTACTTTTAAATTTTCTTTCATTAAAATCAATTTACCTCTGTGTCTACAACAACATTGTAGAGCCGTTCCCCAGCTACCAATTCTAAGGCCGTAATTGTAGAAGTATCTTTCACACTAATCAAAGAAGCTACCAGTCCTTTCACACAATTTCTATTCCAGTTCTTCTCTGGATCTCTGAGATAGAAGCAATGACAAAAATTATTCTTAGAAGAGAAAAAAGGATGTATTCTAATCCAGAATGTTTGGACTGGATGAATACAGAAGAATCACAGTTTTGCCAAAACAAAAATTTTAATATGTTCCAGGTGGACTAGTCAGCTACTTCTTTTAAATCAGCTAAAAATCTTTGCAGTAAGCTTTTAATGTAACAAAAACAAACAATTTAAGACACAGGATTATTGCATTTCATTAAAAAAAAACATAACCAAAAAACTTTAGAAATTTAACACTAAAGACAGAGTAATTTCAAAAACAGTGAGTTGAAGTTAAATTACAGTAATGATTTGGTTTTAAGAGTAATGATATCAGTAGCTGTCAAATTTAATGAAAATCCCAACACCAACAGTTGAAACATTTTTGAAGGAAAAAATATCAATAAAAGAAAAGCAAATTACAATAACTTCGCGAAATAAAAATATATATTGATTACTACTAAGTTTAAATATCTTACTTGTATGCAAACTGCAGATTGGGAAATCTGGCCAAGAGAGCTTCATACTTTTCTTTCAATCTACTGATATCACGAGACAACTGCCTGCGCTTTTCCAAAAGATTTTCTTCCTTATTTTCTGAAGAATGAATCATAAATAAATTGAAACTTAAGTCTAAAAACTCCACCATGTAAAGGAAAATTTAAGTCACCCCCTACTTCGAAAGCATTCTTAGACGTGAAATATGAATTTCTGGTAAGTACTAAATAAAAAAGCATGCTTCATATTCAGATGTCAAGGAATCATTTTCAATTGCAAATAACAAACTCTTCATTTCAGGAAACAACATATAAATTGCCTACTTGGATAGAAATATACAAATGACATTTAAAAGCCTTAAATTTATTGAAGGGCATTTTCAATACTGAGTTCTCAAAATTCAAAGGGTTATTCTATATTTATTTTTCTGGCTATATTTACAAATAATTCATATACTAACATCTATTAACAGGGTAAATAATGTTTATGTATTCTTATTTCCTTAGGTTAAACTATCAGTAATTACTACCTCCCACATTATCATATAATAAAAGCAAACCTTCATAATTTAACTTTTTCATTTCTGTTTCAAGTTTTTCTTTCAGTCTTTTCACAGCTTCTAGAGCTTCTTGATCCTTTCTATAGCCACTATCCATCTTCTTAACTTCTACTTGCTTATTCTTTAATTCCTGCTGAGCATGTTTCAACTTCATTTGAGCCTGTGATAGAAAAATGTGACATTACATGAGGCAGACAGTACTAGTAATTAAATAACCACAGATTCAGACAGGCTTAATTAAGAGACTTCAGCCTTCAAAAATGTGACTTTGTGGTTTCCTAGATTAGTACTTCAAATGAGCAATCATTTCATAACATTTTTTCTTCCAAAAAAACCCAGAGTAAGAATATGTGATTAATATAAATCATTAATTGCAATAAGTGTATTTATTTTTTTATTTTTATTATTATTATTTTTTTTTTTTTTGCGGAACCGGGGATTGAACTCAGATCCTTGCATTTGCCAGTCAAGCGCTTATCCTACTGAGCCATCTCCCCGGCCCAATAAGTGTATTTAATATGTATAAATATGACAACCAAGTTGAAAACTTACATCAAAAAATAACTCAGTAGCTAATCAAAGACAAAACAGAAAGCTTCCTGTCCATGTAAGTGTTCACTTTTGTGTTTGCATATCTTTCTGAGTATTGTTTAATACTAATGGAGAAGGTGTATTAAGTGGTAACAGTAGCCATCAGAAAGAAAGCAGAAATTCCTAAGGTGACAGAGAAATTCGAATGCTAGGACTCTTTTATTTAAATGTTGAAACTTCTGAACTACAGAAGTTTAAAGTTTATAAAACTGAGTGTACATTTTAAAATCATGCTTTTATTTTAAGGCCTAGATAGGAATACCCTGAATGACAGAAAAAAAAAAAATGAGTAATTTAAAATCTTCCTACAATTAAGTTTTATAAAGTGTTATGACTCTCATCTCTGAAGGAAAAGTTACAAATATGTATTAATAGAAAAATCTGAGTAAGAGTAGTAAATATACAAATGCTTCCATGTATATATTTTTATGCTGAGTCCTCAAATAAAAAAAAATAACAAAAAAAGAGCACTGGGTGTTGCACTCTGGAAGGTGGAAAGCAAAATTGGGCAAGTCAGCAAGATTCTCTCAACATAAAAAAAGAACTGGAAATATGGCTCAGTGTGAAGGTTCTGGACTCAATTTCCAATACTAAAAATAAAATCAAATAAAATAATAAAAGAATGTGCACCCTGTGTGTATATGCATTTTTGCCTGCCACCAAAACTCTTTTACTACCAGGACTTAAAGTTCCACTATTAACTAAATAAATTGGAAAAAATCACCTAATAGATTGAAAAGACAGGGGCTGGAGAGATGGCTCAGTGGTCTAAAGCACCTACTTGAAACAAGCTTGGCAAAGCACAGGGACCGCGGTTCGATCCCCAGCACCACATGCCAGCCAGACCCGCCCCCTGGTGGGCTGAGCTGGCCACACACACACACACAATAAATAAATGTAATAAATAAAAATAAATATTTAGATTGAAAAGACAAAATCTGAGTGATGTGGTCAAAGACAAATGTAAATAAATATGTGGCAGAGATATTTCCCTTGGAAATGTAAAATGTTTTTTGTTTGTCTGTTTTTGATTTTTTGAGACAGGGTCTCTACACAGTTCAGGCGGGCCAGGAACTCACTATGTTCAGACTCACTTGAACTTGAAGCAATCCTTCTGCTTCGGCTTCTCTAGTGCAGGGATTACAGGCCTGTGCCACCACAACCCACCGTGGAAATATAAAGGTTTTAAGAAGTAGGAATGATAGGCAAAATGATGGTGAAGATACTTTCGTTTTCCTGTTAAAACTTACGTTGTCAGCTATGTATCAATTAAAAACAGCCAGGAAATACGAGCATGAACTAACTTCAAGTATTTCAAACAACGCTATAAATTTGATAAAGCATTTCATGTAGTTAAGAACTGAGCTATAATAATATGCTTTAAAGCATCTTAAAATTTAACATAATCAGTGTTTACCAATCAACCTATAAGAATTTTAATGTATGAGGTACTATAGACTAAAAAAGTTATGTAAGCAAGTTCCTTGACACTGAACTGATTATTTTTAGTATTTTGTAACAATTCCAAAGCAGCCTGTGAAAAGCAGTTTCTTAAACAAAAACAAACACATGGTGCTCAGTCTGTAGTTACCTGCTTGGCCTCTGTCTGGGCTTTACTTATGTCATTTTTACAGGCTATCATTTGCCCAGC